AGTAACGTAGAAATCCGTTGAGTTCCTTCAGATATCTTTGCTAAATTTCGTGTTGTCTTCTTTCTAAAAATATTTCCAACAAGGTGGGATTAAAGACTCTGTTAGCAAGAATCACACATCAACAATTCTAAGCAGACAGTTCAATGTCAGAATGACTTTGATTAATTCACTCAAAATAAGAGATTAAATATGAATAAAGAGAAATAATAAGGATCAAGTCAATATATGATATGCAAACATCAAAACAATGATATATGGTCTCTAGGAGATAATAATTACGATGTTAGTTGATACATCCATTTAGGTATGAGTGTTGTTAATCGATCGTTGAGGAGGCATCTTCCAAATAATTACACCGTTATACTTAGCATAGATTTCAGTCAAAATATAACACCATCAAATGGTGAGTCACTGAAAATCAGGAAGAACTGGACAGCTTTTTCGTACTCTTCGCCAGGAGTCGAACTCATTACACCGTCACTGAAGAAATCTACACTAATAACTCATAATCTAATTGTATCAATCCCTTATCATACACCTGCTAACATAGACTGACTGACTGGCTGGCTGGTTTCAGCTAAGAACTTTACACAAAAACTGTTCCTTCCAACGTTCCAGTCGTCTATCCTGAGAGTTAATTAGGGCGCCAATATATCTCGGAGATTGTTTCACTTATCATTTGCCTTTTACCACCTGTTTCCTTGATAGGCCTGAATAGTTATCTGGCGTCACCTATCGCTGATGCTTTTTCCAACTCTTTCGCTTTTGTCGCCCACCACTGTTCACGGTCAGTTTGTGTTTAAGCAGGTACCACTCCTCATAATATTCGGAGTCCACTGGAATCAGTTTTCTTGTGTCTGTCGGTTCGGCTGAAGTGGCTTTTGGTTATTGACAATATTTAAAGCTGTATCTGTGTTTGCTGTTGATCTTGGATAAGCATTTAGCCATTTTTTCCGTTAATAGGGACTCAGTGTGCTGATCAAGTTGGGGGAGAGGGGCATAACAGTTTCGTTTCCGTCTGTACTTTTATGTCCGTTCAGTCGTAGGCATAAATATTCACGGACAAGGGTGTGATCGAAGTCTGTACACGTGTTTCAAGAAGAGCGACAGTTTTCTTCTGCTGACACTCGTCAATGGTAGCTTATCCCTATGTGGTCTATCTAAGTTCATCATTGATTTGAATATGGTCGGCAGGTTACGCAACTGCTAAAATAGGGAATAACACCACTATCCATGTACATAATACAGACAGGAATCTATGAATATCACAGTTGATGCGTCTACGTAAGCAAGGCATGTATTAATATGTGTGAAAGACAGAGAGGGAGAGCAATATTCGACAACGGAAGACAGACGCAGAGAGAAGTTGATCAATGTTAGTAACTTGTCCAAGAGTAAAACATTATTTATTTATTTAAACGCAGAAAAAACTTGGTACTATATGGCACCAAGAAAGATGCGCCACAAATATATATAATATATATATATATAACCAAACAACAGGTTCTGGTAGAATTTAAGTTTCCCAAGCTGTTATTAAAGCCTGACACAATCACCTGGATGAGAAGTAGGACGTTGCACATAAGCTCAGGGTTGCTCCACTGCATATACCACATAAAGGAGTACAGAACAAACGGTAGTAACATGGGGACTGAATAGATCTGGCAGACTAGAAAAGGCTGAATACAGCTGTGCTGGTTAATAACAATTTCAAGTCATGTACGGATTATTCATAGTCCTCAGTCATTAAATTTTATTCTGGAGGGTACCAACTATACACCTACATTGACATGGTTGCCTGTAACTAACTCCCGATGTCTTCATGTACTCGTGGTGCTGGAATGTTTTGGTTCGACTCCCAACTTAATCGTATGCCAGTTAATAATGCTCGTTGAGGAAGGCAATGGATCTGCATGCGGAGTGAAATCCAACAAATAAAGGAAATATTACTAGTGAATAGTTATTCACTAACTACCCACCAGAATTTTTTGAGAAATTTATAAAAAACAATAGAAAAAAATCAAGACTAGTTATAAAAATGAGGAAATACAGAAAATAATATAGAATTCAAAGCCAGTGTATTACTGCTAAAGAAAAGAAGGAACATCACAGGCCTTATTGAGAATTCTCAAATGGGACGGAAATGGAATTAGGGTGGCATTTGAACCAACCAACTCTCTCTCTGAAATAAACTTTGTCGACTTAAGGAGCCGATGATAGATCCAATTAAGAAAGTATAATATAATTTATCAAATAACATGTAATGACTCTGAGCTCAATCAGTTACATAAGGGAAATATTACATAAGTAGATCGCGGTCAATTAGGTTATCGGAACATAAAAATTCAGCTAGACATAGAATGATTGACTCTGATAAGTTAAATAACGTAGAAAAAACACAGCTAGGCCGTTGGATTGCATTCCCCGTGCATGTGATCCCACAATAAGATGGGTAGAACAGGGCGAAAGTATTAAAAAGTAATATAGTTCGGTAGAGAAAGAGAGAGGAAGGTTGTTCACTGAATCTTTGTTTATCGATTTAACACCGCACACGTGCAATCGAAATGAACCAACTCTGCCTATTCCAGAGATATGGAAAGTGCCAACAAACAACAAGGGGAAGAGGAAGAGAGAGGAATATATAGGGAAAACTGTGTAACTGCATTGATATTATTATGAACGGCAATATTTTATGCTCGAAACCTTGTCATCCAGTTGTTAATCATCATCTGTATGAATCATCACTGTATGATATTTAAAATAAACTCATCTAATATGGAATTACATATAGGACCTTTCAACGTCAGGACCCTCTGCAAATTGGACAACAGGCATCACTAGCAAGAACTCCGGCGTCTCGAGCCATGGATGTATGTTGTGTTTCGGAGACACGCATACAAAACCCGAGTGTGGTCATTCAGTTAACCTCTCCCGGTCAACAAGGTGAATCTGCAAAATTCACTTTAAGGGTGTCAGGAGACCCTTCAGCTAGTTTGCGAGGACTCGCAGGTGTAGGGATAGCACTGAGTGTTAGGGCAGAAAAATCACTTCTTGACTGGATCCCACTAGATAGTCGTATGTGCGCGGTACGTCTGAACAGGTCCATTAGAAGAAGGAAGTACAGCATTACCCGTCGTTGTCTTTTCGTAGTCTCCGCTTACGCCGTAACAGATGGCAGTTCGAATGAACTAACGGATGGCTTCTACCTGAAACTGTCTAAGTTGTTGCAAAAAGCAAAATGTTCATACATAGTTGTTTTAGCAGGCGACTTCAATGCCCGAGTAGGGAAGTTATGCCAGACTGAGAAGTATGTAGAGGTGGTACGACGTATGGAGTTCCCTGCCGACGAACCGACAACGATGATCGTCTTCTACAGTTTTGCTCAAATAATCATCTCTTCCTAGTCAGCACTAACTTTAGTCACAAAGAAAGACATTGTGTAACCTGGCGACCTCCATCACCATTTATTTATTTAAACGCAGAAAAACTTGGTACAATATGGCACCAAGAAAGATGTGCCACACAATAATAATAAAACAACATAGATTAAAAGTAAAAATATAGGTAGAAAAGGAATAAAGAACTTCATCAGGAAGGAAAACAGTCATGTTTAACAAGTTCAAACAGTATTCGTTAACTATCATCAGGAAGGGAAGAAAGAAGGAAATTGCAACACATTCGCCATTGATTACGATTCTTGGCCATATCCGATAACGTTTCGAGCTATCTCGCGGACCCCAACCAGGCAGTCAACGCACCAACCGATGCTAATCTGGCACAAATATCCTTCATCCCACGACGCCACGTCATGGACTGACCACCCCTCCGCCTTTTCCATCCCGTCCCAGGGCTAGCGAACAGACACCTGTACGGAAGCCTCTGGGATGACATTTGCAGCACATGTCCAAGCCACCGAAGCTGGTGTTTCCAGATGACAACACTCAACAAATGGTGATCTCGACTGTGTCCAGATACACGCCGCCGAACCTCAGAATTACTCACGCGATGATGCCATCGAACGCAAGCAATCCTCTGGAGACAGCGATGATCGAACACGCAGAGTCGCCACACATCCTCAGCTCGGAGAGGCCAGGTTTCACAGGCGTAGAGCGAACCAGCCCGCCCGCACCGAAGCATTGTGTACCCGACCTTTGATAGCCAGGCTAACGTCGTGACGGCGCCAGAGGTGGCTCAAGTTGATGTATGCCACACTAGACTTCATGATACGGTTAGAAATCTCATCCGTCACCCTTCCGCCAGCACTCACACAACTACCCAGACACACAAACTTATCAACAACTTCAAGCAGTTCACCTGCAAGAGTGATTGCAGATACAGGCTCCTGCCAATCTTGTAACAGTACTTTGCACTAAGACGGTGCAAAGCACATACCATACTTACAGACACTTGCATAAAATCCCACAATAAGATGCGTAGGACAGCGTGAAAGTATTAAAAAGTGATATAGTTCGGTGGAGAGAGAGAGAGACAGAGGTTATTCGCTGAATCTTTGTATATCGATTCAACATCGCAAACGTGGAGTCGAAATGAAGCAACGCTGTCTATACCAGAGATATGCAAAGTGCCAACAAACAGCAAGGGGAAGAGTGAGAGAGAGAAATATATAGGAAAAACTGTGAAGTTGTGTAACTACATTGATATGATTATGAGCAGTAATAATTTATGCTGGAATTCTTGTCATCCAGTTGTTAATACTGAATCACCCACTGTGTATGATATTTAAAATAAACTTATCTGATATGGAATTACATTCTAACAGAGTGTCTAAATTCCACTCTTACATTAACGATATTTATATGTCGCAGTTATCTTAAGCAACATAATTTCTCACAACGTAATCGACTGACCTTTCCTTCATACCTAACACTCTACACGGGCCAAACTTCAATATTACTGCACAATATTGTAACCACTTAACCCTAGTGATGATAACTAAATAGAATGCAAACACATCTGTCATTAAAAAAGGAAGTGACAACTGCATTAGAAAATCTGTATATTTTTGTACAAAATAACCGTTACAGAAACAAAAAATATGCATATATAGGGAGAAAGGTCTTCATCAACTGTCAGAGTTGTTTTTCGGAGCTACCGGTTCAACGGAACATGACTGTTTAAATTTATCTGAAAAACAAAGAGAAGATAAACACAGTGGTTACTTCAACTGAGTGACACATACTTTTTGAAATTATACTAAGAATATGAAGTGTATGCCATAGGCCTTGTGAGAATTGCACATTAATTAGATCATACTATGGTGTATGCTACTACTGATAAGATTTGTCAGTAGTATATATAAAGAGACCTTTATCGGCATACAAACATCACTTTGATTGGCCACTAGTAATTTCTGTGATGTGTCTAGTCCTTTCTTTGGTGCAGACTGAATTCTATCACTAAAGTTTGTAATGTAGCCACAGCGTTCCAGGTGGCTTGCCATCAAGGTGCATATTGATTTGATGATATTAGATGGTTGGAGGCGATCGGCACCACAGGAAGCCTTGACTGACCTAAATTTCGTGCTAGTTGGCAGTCATCAGCAAGGTGTATCTGCAACCACCTTGAAGGAATTCATATGTCCCTTCTGAAATTCGAACCCCTGAGACACTGAGGTCCACGAGTTCCAATCTCAGAGGGGACATCAATTCCTTCAAGGCGGTTGCAGATGCGCCGGTTTTGCTGACTGGTGAGTGGGTGCCAACAAGCACTAAACCTAGGTCTACGACTTCTGATTGCCATCAACCATCTGATAATATCTGCTTCGGTGGCGAAGAGGGAGAACGCTCGCCAGCCCCTGAGGTGGTCCGGGGTTTGACTCCTGGCCGACGAAGGCCCTCCCAAACCTCGCCTAGCTGGTTAATAAGCCTGGCAAACAGGGAAGGGTGGACGTGACACTAGCAATCCCGCCCCGTAGAAATAAAGCCACTGCTACTGAAACTTCAAGACTCAAGCTTGAAGTCCTATGTTACACTGAGAACACAAAAAGATTTAAAAAAACACCCAATAATATCAAACAGAATCAATTAGCCTACTAAAGAAAAATGCCCTTAATCATATTCATAAGAACTGTTTAATAAGAGGGTGATATCATCGCGTTTAGCTGTGATTTCTCCCATTTATAACAACAGACATATGTAATAGTAGCAGTAGTAGTTTGACTGACTGGTTCCAACACAGAAGTGCAGCAGTCCGAGTTGTCAAACTTCAGGTAGAAAAAAAATCGGATGATATAAAGCGAATCCTTAACAATCATAATATAATCAGAGTGTGTTTCCGTGCACCCAACACCTTATCCTCGTCACTAGTGAAAGTTAAGGATAACAAAGTAGAAGAAGACAACCAACAGAATTGTGTGTAGCGGATCAATTGTTGGGATTGTGACCCTGCTGTAAATGTAGGAGAAACTTCCAGACAGGTAAATCTATAAGGGTGAAAGAGCACAAACAAAACAATGTCTAAAGGTGGTTCCAAATACCTCTGCAGACTTAAAGAAGCTAGAAAACAGATCAGCGATTGCACTGCATTCAATAGAAACGGAACACAAAATCGACCTTGATAGGACTAAAGTTCTACTACAAAAAGGTTTTGGTTCGTATAAAGAAAGACTGACTGCACAAGCCATACATATATGTGGGTGAATCCGAAAAGTTTGAATAGACGTGAAGGCGTAATGCATGTGTGTTAGTTGATACATGGCAAGTCCTTATTAATAAATAAAAATTAAGTATGTATCACTAATCAATCATACTTGATCTAAATTCTCGATTGTCTATATCTTCTTATAATGGAGAGGCTAACAAATTATTTACAATTGTTTACTTATACACACACACACCATTGTTTACAGTATACGCATATATATTTTTCGCATTCAGCTATCTGCGAACATGAACTTTAGTCGAACGTAATCACTAGAGTCTGATGAAAAAGTACACACTATTTACAGTGTTTAACAAAAATAGACTAAAATTTAATTGGTAGATGGTGACTAGCAGTGGAATCCAACCACGATGCGCATTTCGTCCTATTTGGGACTCGTCCACTGGATGTACCTGCATTTCCCAGTGAGTGATGATGTTCTCACCAGCAAGGCTCGAACCCAGTGCCTATTAGTTTCACACTTCAAAGCGTTATCCACTCGACCACTTGGGCCACGAGAGCCACCTCTTGTGCAACGGGTCATATTAATTATTTAATTGAATTTTAGATTTTCCACTGACTGGGAAATGCAGGTACATCCAGTGGACGAGTACCAAATAGGACGAAATGCGCATTCTGGATTACTCCACTGCTAGTCACCATCCACCAATTAAATTCTAATTAAATGCCCAGACATCGTCGAAGCATCTGCACAAGAAGCTGACATGTCAACCTGAGACCGAGCAATTCGGTCCAATCAATCGACGGGAAAATCTAAAATTCAATTAAAAATAGACTAATATTTGTAAGTCTGTGGTCAAATTTTGATCACAGTTCATGCAATTTTGTTTGTTAATTATATTTTGATGCTAGATTCATGAGTCATATTATGGTGAGAGCTGGCTGCTAGCCAAAGTTGGTAGACAGTAATTGACGTCAATGTTTATGTCCTCAATATTGGTGGTGAGAAAATGAGAACAAAGGCTTTGCGTAGGCGGACACAGTTAGCATATGGATGATCTGACACAGACACAAAGAGATGCAAGGTTAACTTTCTGTGAGAAACAAACAATCAAAAGACTGCAGTTTCTACTAACAATAATCTACAATAATGTACATTAAAATCTATAAATATGTGTTGATTTTCCTTAATAAACGATCTGTTGCCTGACCCTTGTCTTCTGTTGTTATAATATGATTGGGGACAAAGTTTTTAAAAAACAAGAGATTTCCTTTTTGTGTATGGACCTCGGTTATTTTAATTTCCATTAATTCTCCTAAAGTTCCGACCAGTTTTTCCCGAACGCATGAAACGTTGGAATTACTTATTTCTATTTCCCTGAGATTTTTCCAAATATAATTTTTACATAGGTAAGAAGATATTCGAAAGGACGATACTGCGCACGAACATGACGCGGAAAAGAATAGTAACGTGGAAGAACAACAGAGGTCTAATGATTATAGGAGAGAACGATTTCGATTCATATCACCAGTTGTCTTCAGTCATTGCGCTCATCAATGTCATTGCATGTAGTGAGTCGTTTAGCTGAACTATACTCCAGATTTCTTATTATCTTATTAGGGTCAACTAATCTAGATTTTGCTAGGTTGTTATGCTCAGCTAGTAAGATTGCACCTGTTCTACTACTATGACCTATGTATCTGACCTGACAGTCTTTGCACCACGGTATTAGATAAACTAGATTGTTTTTTTTAACTGGCTCCACAGTCAGGATCCTTTAACCGACAAAGCTTGTTTCTAATTGAGTTTGTGGGTTTGAATGCCACTTTTTTCCTGCCTTGCTAAGAGTTCTGCGTAAGGTTTCCGAGGTTCCTTCTTTGTATAGAAGCACAACTGATGTTTTAAATTCACTATTTTTGGCGTTGTCATTATTCTGTGCAAATTTGTCAAAGTAGTAGAACCATTAGCGTCGAGTACATCAAAATCTAGATTAGTTGACCCTCATAAGATGATAGGAAATCTGGAGAATAGTTCAGCCATAGACAGCACTACATACAATTACACACACACAACCATAAAATAGGATAGGATAAGATGATAGTTCTAAAATCCAATATAACAGGGTGGAAGGAACAGAATTGATAACAGAAGCTTTATGCTTATCGAATTGACTGAGGAGAATACGTGCAATCGGAATTATTCAACACTAGTCCACCCGGACATCTAGAAAATTCTATTCGAAGTTGTGTGATTATAATTAATATGATTATGAACAATAAATAAATTGTGTTCGAAACTGTGTCATCCAGTTAACAATAATACTGTTTCTTCACTGTGTGTGTGTGATATATCTAATAAACAAATCAATATGGAATTGCATACTACCGCAGCAGTGTCTAAGTCTTACACATATATGAATCTCATGGACAGTTAATTGTATGTGTGAGTATTATGTGTACAGTCACAAATAAAAAACACAAGGTAACTACTTAATAGTTTGATTGGACACTAGTAATTAGTGTGACGTGTCTAGTCCTTTCTTTGGTGCAGACTGAATTCTATCAGTCAGTCAGGTTTGCAATGTGGCCACCATTCATTCTAGGTAGCTCGCCATCATGGCGCACATTGATTTGATGACATTCGATAGTTGGAGGTTGCAGATACGCCTTGCTGACTGGTGAGTGCCAACTAGCACGAAACCTAGGTCCAAGGCTTCCTGCCGATTGCCTCCAACTATCTAATAACTACTTAATGAATTAAGCATACAATTACATTTATATATTCAATTGTTACTTACTACGTATAGAAGTGACATCTTTCAATTCATTTCCATCGCCATCCGCGTCGTCATCATCCTCATCCACATCATCTGAATCATCATCATTCTGTGGACGTAGTTCAACTCCATCAACATCAGGAAGTGGATCTCTATCTGCGTCATCATCATTACCAGCGATATCTAAAAGCATCGGTGTATGCTTCACGGTTTTAAACTTCTTATTGCCACTTGATTGACCTATGGAAGGAAACGAAAAGAGGTGAGCGGGATGGGGGGGGAGTAAACACACACACACACACGCACGCACATCGCTTATTATATTATGATTATTATTTCCTTCAATTCCTAGAGGAACATAGGGCTTCAGCCGTACATCTCCATTGCATTCGGTTCTCTGCTAGAGTCTTTACCTGGCTCCAAGTCTGCTCACACGTTTTCATCTCCTCTTCACATGACCTCCTCCAAGTCACCCTAGCACTGACGACCAACTCGCCACTTCCCTTTCGGCCGGGTTCCACTCGAGCAATGGCTTGTCTAGTGATGTCACTTGATGCATTGTTTCCTCAGAGTATGGCCAGCCAATCCATCTCCATTTCTTCCTGCTTATTTGTTTCACAATCGGTTCCTGGTTGGTTCGCTCCCAAAGATCCCTGTTGCTGATCTTTTCTGGCCATCTGATCTTGGGTATTGAGCGAAGACAACTGTTAATGAAGGTCTGTAGTTTGTTTGAGATGCTCTTCATGACACACTGGCCAAGTCTCTGATCCGTATAGTAGCACTGACTTCCCATTGGAGTTGAAAATCCGGATCTTATTTTTGATGCTGAGTGTTGTTGACCTCCACACAGACTTGAGAGTAGTGAAAGCTTGTCTTGCTTTTCCGATCCTTGCTTTGATATCCTCGTCAGTTCCGTTCACCTGTAGTTGAAACGATGCTTCCCAGGTAGGTAAAGGAGGTTGTTTCTTTCAGGTTCCTCCCATTTATGCTGATTGTTGTCTGTTGTTGCTGTTGGTGGTGTTGCCCAGGAATCTTCATCACCTTTGTTTTATCTATGTTCACCTGAAGTCCTTCACATCTTTGATGCTTCTTCTATCGCCAACTTGTTGCTTTTCGCTTGCATATCTTCCAGTTTGTGGGAAATCAGACATATATCATCGATGAAATCCAGATTCTCCAAGTTTTTTGTGTAAGTCCATTTTATGCCTGTTTCCTCATTGCCCACTGTTTGTCGCATTATCCAATCTACTGCAATCGGGAAAATCATTGGCGATGGTAGGCAGCCCGCTTGTCTTACTCCTGTCTTCACTTCGAAGGATTCCGTAAGTTTCCCGTTGTGGATAACTTCACATACAGCATTGTTGTACAACTGTTGGATGAGGTTGGTGGCATCCCGTAGTAGCATAGTAGTAGTTTCCAAATCACCTCTCGATCGACGCTATCGAAGGCCTTTTCAAAGTCGATGAAGTTGAGATAGAGAGGTGACCGCCATTCCAAGCTTTGTTCAATGATGATCCGTAATGTGGCGATCTGATCAATGCATGACTTGTTTCTCCTGAATCCAGCCTGTTCCGGTCGAAGTTTTTCATCCTGGGCGGCTTGTTTGATTCTCTCCAGGATGATGCGGCTTAGTATTTTGCTTGGGATGGACAGGAGCATAATTCCGCGCCAGTTCTTGCATTGACATCGCTTATTATCAAGAGGAAAATTTGCTTATAAACACACAGAAGTTATGCTGCTACTGCTGTCTCACATCATAATATTGTTTCCTGATTAGATAAAGGAGTCGAAAATATATTCAGTGTACTTTCTTTGACTCGAAGTGAATACAGGAGTAAGACAAGGCGGTTTGTCTGCCAGTTACGATCACGGATGATATTCTTAATTGTGGTGGACTGGATTATGCGTCAGACTGTTGGGGGCGAGGAGTTAGGAATAAGCAGGACGACCGATAAGAAGACTCTAGAAGATCTGGATTTCACGCGTGGATAATTTATGCTGTTGAATGTCACACAGACTCGAAGACTTGCAGAAAGGCGAAAACCAACAAACTGGCAGAAAATGCAAGCAGAGAAGACAGGATGCCAGGTGGACATGGAGAAGATGGAGGTGATGAACATAACCAACCAGCCAACAGCGACAGCAACAATAACCAGCACCAATCACCATCAATGGGAGAAATTTGACAGAGATTACTTCCTTCACTTATCTAAGAAGCACGGTTTTAACCACAGCCAGCGGAACGGATGAAGATGTCAGAACCAGCCAGAATCGGAAAGGCAACCTGAACCAGTTTGGAAATCTTCTGCACTCCACCTAAGCATAAAGAACACGATTCGGATTCTGTTCAACACAAATGTGAAGTCAGTTAGTCAGTTCTTCTATACGGGTCAGAAACTTGCACTGCGTATCATGAAAAGGATTTCCAACAAGTTACAGACTTTTATCAACAGCTGCATTTGATGACGCCATAGTGAGGATCAATTGGCCAGCCCGCCGGCAGGCCAGAAAGAATTAGCAACAAGAAACTCTGTAGTGGAACAAACCAAGCGAGAGCCGATTGCTCAACAAATATGCAGGAGAAAATGGAGATGTGTTGGTCAGGTATAAGTTGAGGAGGCCATCGAATGACATCCGCTCAATGCAGGACATCTCTCGAGTGGAATCCAAATGGGAAGCGACGAGTGGGTCGTCAATGACATGGAGGAGATCAGAGATTATGGGCAATCGTTTACCCAGCTGAAGTGGACAGGAGAAAACAAAACAAAGTAGAGATGTGTTGTTGAAGCCCTATGATGTTCCACTCGGAACCCAAAGGAATAATAATACATAATCATATAACACCTTCTTTGACTACACATCTGCTTACGACTACGTACCAACAAACTGTTCGAAGAAGCAGCAAAGACAGGACTCCAGGTGAACATAGACAAGACGAAGGTTATCAAAATAACTAACCAACAACAACAGCAGCAGCAACATCCAGCGCCAATCACCATCAACTGGAGGGATTTGAAAGAGGTTAATTCATTGACTTATCTAGGGAGCATTGTCTCAACTACAGGAGGAACGGACGAGGATGTCAAATCGAGAATCGGGAAAGCGAGAAACACATTCATCAACCTGGAACCAATCTGGAAATCTTCGTCACTCCTCAGCATCAACAACAAAATTCGGATTTTCAATACAAACGTCAAGTCAGTCACTTCTTCTATACGGATCAGAAACCTGGCGGGTCACAAAGAATATTTCCAACAGCCTGTTGCAGACCTTTATCAACAACTGTCTTCGCTGGTTCTATACTGAAGATCAGATGGCTGGAAAGAATCACAAACAAGAAACTATGGGGGCAAACAAAACAAGAACCAATCGCTCAACAAATATGCAGGAGAAAGTGGAGATGGATTGAAAGAGGAGGCCTCTGGGTGACATCGCGCGTCAGGCCAATGCTCGAGTGGAACCCGAAAGGGAAGCGGCGAGTAGTGGGACATCCAAAGGTGACATGGAGGAGAGATCGTGTGAAGAGAAGCTGAAACAGTATGGACTAACATGGATGCAAGTGAAAAGCATAGCAGAAGACAGAAGCAAGTGGAGACGTACAGTTGAAGCCCTATGTTCCACTAGGAACCCAAGGGAACAATAATAATAATAATAACATCAACTCAGTTCTCAGCTGTTAACTGGTGGTATTCTTATTTCTCCAATAGAATGCAGTACACCGTGTATAAAGGCGAATTCTCCTCTGGCTTGCTTGATTATTGAAACTGGCGTCCCTCAAGGTGCTGTTCTCTCTCTCGCCTTTTCCTTTTTTCGTACATAACTTACCTCTTACGGATGAAATCAACTTTGTTAAATACGCTGATGACCCGACTGTCTCGTTGCCAGTTTCGTCCCAATCTGAATGTTTCAAACTTTTAATAGCTTTTTCTCCGACAGTAGTCAGTGGTCTAAGCTAAATGGTCTTATCTTAAATCCTTTTAAATATCAGACGAAATTAACTTCACGTTGAGACATAAACTTGATTATCAATAAGAACTGGTCCGTTCAAAAGATGCTGCTTTTAGCGCAAAGACCATTGAAATACTAACTATGTCAGGCATTAAATACTTTGGAATAGTTTGCGCCGAATGCGAGTGCCAAGCGACGGGATCAGGTTTCTATTTTCGAACAAATGGGTACCCAGCTGTAGAAATTTTGTCCAGTTGACCATTCCATGACAGCTTTCGATAAATCGATTTCTTCAGAGTTCCATCAGTCCTACATGATAAGTTCACATCGAGGAAATGAATACTAGACTCGTTCTCTATTTCCAGTGTGAATTTTATCGCTGGATGGCAACCATTGAATGCATTTAATATATTATTACAATTCGCTTAAAACAAGGAGAGTTCTGGGTGGAAAAGAAACAGATCAAAGTAGCCACTATTACTACATTCTGGCCTGCTGTGGAATCTATAGACTCATAAATTCTATATTATTATTCCTAATACATCTGATATTATATTGATGCATATTGTCACGTTTACAGATGCTTTTGAACTGTAATCTATCTGTCTGTCTGTCTGTTTTCAAAAAAGAACTTTGCACCGATGTGCAGCAATTCAAGTCACCACACTCCCTCCATGTAGCACACAAAGCAAGAGAAGAAAGTAAAAGAAATGCATAATAGAGACAGTAAACAGAGATATGAGACAGAAAGAATAGTAATAACGAAGAACAATATAGTTTCACTGGATATCATAAATCACAAGGATGTATCTGTGCCAGGCATTCAGAACGATTTTGAGCCATATCTGTCTGTCTGGATTTAACATAGAACTTGGCACCGAAGTGCAGCACTTTGAGTTGCCACGTTCCAAATAGCACACAAAGGTAGACAAGAAAATGAGTGGAGGGAATCAGTAGAGTTTTGACAAGTATAAGAGTGAATCAGAATGAGTAATGGTAGAAAGGAATATGAAAGATTACAGAGACTGAATACATCTACGTAGGCCGTTGACAACGATTTTGAGCCATATCATCACCAATTGTCTCCAGCCTTCATTGGTTTTTACCGTCCCGAGGATCCCAACTAGTCAGGAAATCTACACCTTCCTACGTGGCTAGATTAAACTAACTGTTGCGGATTTCATTGACTGGTGTCATGTTTTCATTTGACCGCCGCTAGCTCTTTTCCAGCCTGGCCCTATATCAGCTAACATTGCCCGTTGTCGAGGAAGGCGATGACTAGGCATACGTAACACATGTCCTAACCATCTCAGTCGATGTAGCTTCACAGCGTCGTCGATTGATTTCCCCTCCTTATCTAACACTCCACCGACGCCTAACCTCAATATTGCTCACCTTATTATACCACTTCACATGGGAGATAGAACGCAGACACCTATGATCAAATACAGCTAATCTTTTCATGTCTTCCACTCTCAATGGCTATTTCGAACTCACAGCCATAAAGGAGGACGGAGCGGACTGTTGAGCAGTACACCCGCCCTTTGGTCGATAGTCGGATATCACACTGTAATCTATCGATTTTACTGATTCAGTGTAATTAAAAAAAACATTAATGTTATTACTATTATTATTAACAATAATTCTCCAACTGTAGAACCTGACGAAGAAGAAGGCGTCTTTTGAAACTTATTAATGAGCGGCTTTATTATTATTATTATTCCCATGGGGTTCCGAGTGGAACATAGGTCTCCAATAGCACACCCCCCAATTTGTTTTGTTCTCAGCAGCCCTCTTTAACTGACCCCAAGATTGTCCACAGGCTCTCATGTCCTCCTCTTCCTCATATGATCGCCTCCATTTCACCCTCAGACACAAGCCAAATTTATCATTTCCCACTGAGATCCCAATCCGACAATGAACTGATGTGCGATGTTGTCACCCAATGCTCTCTCTCCTCATCAGATGTCCAATCCATCTGCAGTTTACTTCAGAATAGTTGTTGAGCAATAGGAGGTTATGGTTGATTGGCCAGTTAAACTGGCCATTTGATCTTCAGGATGGAGCCAGTGAAGGCAGCAGCAGCAACTACTGATAAGAATTTATAGTTATATTATTATTTATTATTGTTCCCTTGAGTTCCTAGTGGAACATAGGGCTTCAACTGTGCACGTCTCCACTTGCTTCTGTCTTCTGCTATGCTTTTCACTTGCATCCATGTTAGTCCATACTGTTTCAGCTTCTCTTCACACGATCTCTCCTCCATGTCACCTTTGGATGTCCCACTACTCGCCGCTTCCCTTTCGGGTTCCACTCGAGCATTGGCCTGACGCGCGATGTCACCCAGAGGCCTCCTCCAATCCATCTCCACTTTCTCCTGCATATTTGTTGAGCGATTGGTTCTTGTTTTGTTTGCCCCCATAGTTTCTTGTTTGTGATTCTTTCCAGCCATCTGATCTTCAGTATAGAACCAGCGAAGACAGTTGTTGATAAAGGTCTGCAACAGGCTGTTGGAAATATTCTTTGTGACCCGCCAGGTTTCTGATCCGTATAGAAGAAGTGACTGACTTGACGTTTGTATTGAAAATCCGAATTTTGTTGTTGATGCTGAGGAGTGACGAAGATTTCCAGATTGGTTTCAGGTTGATGAACGTGTTTGAAAAAAAATGTCTGTTGAAAATGCTTTTCATAACTCATTCCACCAAGTTTTTCACGCATATAATAGAAGAACTAACTAACTTACTAACTCGACATTGGTGTTGAAAACCTGAATTGTGTTGCTGTTTCTGCTGATTGCAGAAGATTGTGCTTAATCTAACTTCATCAGAGGGATGAAGAAAGGTCTGTCTGCTTAGGACATATTCAAGCAAATATTTTATTTTGAAATTTAACTTCACCGCATTTTCATTATTATTATTAGATAAACAACAAATAAAGTGACTAACCTTCTTTCATTTGTTGTTTACACTTCTCTTGTTTGGCCAATATACTCGGAAGATTGATCTGTTTATGCAGAAAAAACAATTGTGAATTACATACAAGCAAATATTTCAGGAACAAAACTGCGAAATAAAATATTCTTCTAATGGTCTACGAGCTCGCTAGCCTTGTAACCGGAAGTTCCTCGGTTCTTACCTCCTAGCGGTGAATGCGTACTGCTGAAGAGTCACAAACTAGTGAGACGAAACAGTTAGTTATCCGGTAATCCCTGCCTGATTTTCCAATGGTTCTCTCTAACTGATGTCAGCTCATGATGAAATAATCCAACCAATCAAATGAAAATTCCTACAAAACTTGAAAATTGACCTGATGTGCACTAGCGACTGGCTCTATTCAGGCAGTGACCTGGGGTTCTAGTGGGACGTCATGACCAGTAGGGTACAGCAGGTTGGATGTGAGGACAAATACTCGCTAGCGATGATATTGGCTAGCGATCGCAGTATGTCTTGAATTGGCAGAAGTTGGAATTCATGGGGCACTGGATAGAGCCCGAGTGGCTCAATGGTCTACTAGTTCGCCTTGTAATCAGAAGGTCCTGGGTTTGAACCCTGGCGGTGGGTGCGTCCCAAACTAACGGGACGAAATAGCTGTCCAGTACTCCCAGGTGGTCTTCCAATGGTTCTCTAACTGATGTCACCTTATGATGAAATGGTGTAACCAATCAAAAAAAATTAATTGGTGGATGGTGACTAGCAGTGGAATCCAAGATGTGCATTTCGTCCTGTTTGGGACTCATCATCTGGATGCACCTGCATTCCGCAGTGAGTGATGATGTTCCCGTCGAAACTCGAATTCAGTGCCCATAGTTTCAGACGCCAAAGCGTTATCTACCGGACCTCTTGTGCAACGAGTCATATTAATTTTTTAATTCAATTTTAGATTTTCCCGTCGATTGATTGGACCGAAGTGCTCGGTGTCAAACGAAATCCCTGCAAAAAACCAATACTTGAAAATATATTTGTTATACATTTTTAATCAATAAAACAATACAGCTGTCAACATCTCTGCACACTGATTTGGTCGTTTCTTTGTATTATTTTTTTGTTTTACTGAACGATGAAATACTTCTACTTGCATTACTAATGGAGACGTGTTTGTGTGAGTGACTATTCATTGACTTAAGAACCAAAACCCTGTCAGGTAACATGCACCCACCCTAGATTCGAATCTCACTCAAAACTTAAGTGGAGCTGTGATTTACTGGCATATAGAAGCGGCTGATCACCAACCACCATTGGGTCACTGGATTGTGAATCTCGCTCTCTCTGACGAGTTTGGGTGGGCAAATAGTAGTGTGGTGTGATGCAGATTGATAGGATGCAACCAAAAATTGAAACCAACATTTTAAGTCAATGGTTGCTGCAAAGGAGGCAGAAGTGTTCATTCCTCAAATTTGGATTTAGTTTAAGTTTGCGGATTTGAAATAACCACCTTTTTGGACAACTTGTCTAACCTTAGAAGGTCAATTGTCAACCAATCGGAATGATTTATCCTCCTATTATTATTATTATTTCCTTTAGTTCCTATGACCTAGGCAAACTGTGATGTGGTTAAGAATGTCTGTCTGTCTTCGACATAGAACTTTGCACCGATGTGCAGCAGTTCAGCTTGTCACACTCCCTCCATGTACCACACAAAGCGAGAGAAGAAAGTAAAAGGAAATGCAAAATAGAGACAGTAAAAAGAGATATGAGACAGAAAGAATAGTAATATCGAAGAACAATATAGTTTTATTGGGTATTATAAGTCACAAAGAGTGGATGCATCTGGGCTGTCATTGAGAACGATTTTGAGCCATATCACCAATTGTCTCCAGCCTTCACTGGTTTTTACCGTCCTGAGGACCCCAACCAAGAATTCCACACCTTCTTACGTAGCTTACAGTTAGTTTAACTAACTGTTGTAGATTTCATGAAAACAAAACACGTAGATCAGCGAAGAGTCTCTTTTCGCCGAATTCATTTTCTTAGCTGTACAATCGCAAATATATATGTGTTATTTTGTATGTATGTGTACATTAAGTTTGTCAAACAAAAATACAATTGGTTATAGTTATTGAACACCTGGTTAACACTGATCATTCCATTTCAACAAACGCCTCCTTCAAAGTAATCTACAGAGTCAAGAATAACCTATCAAAGGCAATACGGTTTCGTCTTCTTTGTATCGCTGAAGCTCTGGCCATTCACATAGAAAAACCGGAGCTGTGCATACAAAAGAGGATTACTCAACCACTTCTACTGTCTTGGTAACAACTTTTTTGATTTGATTTAATTTTTTTTATTTTGATGACTTAATTTTGTTTGTTTGCCTGTTCTGCAATTGCTTATAATTCTTGTATTCATTTAGAACTCTTACGTAATTTCACATTATCTACTTTGTTCCTATGTGCATTCTGAGTAAAACTCACTCATCAAACTACTCATATTATTACATAACTTCTTTTAACAACTGTTTGTGACAACTCATCACCTTTGTTACTACCCTAATTTCACTAACACCTAATTTTCTTGACTGATTTTGTATTACGTAACTCCAATTACCAATCTTTACCTGTTTAGTTAAAATAACTATAACCGATTGTATTTTTGTTTGACAAACTTAATGTACACACACATACAAAATAACATATATATTTGCGATTGTACAGCTAAGAAAATGAATTCGCCGATAAGAGACTCTTCGCTGATCTACGTGTTTTGTTTTCATTAATGCCTGGATGGGGATTATACATGTGTTGTAGATTTCATTGACTGATGAAGCCATGTTTTGATTTGATCGCCGCTAGCTCTTTTCCAGCTTGACCCTATGTCAGCTAACATTCCTCGTTGTCGAGGAAGGCGATGATTAGGCATACGTAACACATGTCCTAACCATCTCAATCGATGTAGCTTCACAGCCTCGTCGATTGATTTCCCCTGTGGTTAAGAATGCATAAATATGATGTGCTTTTCCTTAATTAAAAAAAATGCCCGTTACCAAGCCTTTTATCTTCTCTCGTTACACACACCAGATGCATCAAGAATTATGATAAATGTAGATTATAGGAATTTCAACTGTTAGATTTCATCACGTTTCAGTGCATACCAGGGAGTACTGGACAGTTGTTCATTTCGTCCTATATTGCGACCCCCCCTCAGTAGTGCGCATCCCGTGACCTTCAGGTTAAAGGACCAAGCTCGTTGGAATTTAATGATCTGTGAATTCTACCTTCGTCAATTCGTGAAATATAGGGATAACCTCACTAATAAACCTTCGATGAACGGCGATGTTCAACAATAGCGGCCCAGGAGTGCGAACGCTCCAATGACCTTGAACGCATGCTAGTCGTTGGCTAACGGCACCTGTCATTATCATAGCTGAAATATCAATGCTATTCACCAACTAAGGAGCAAATTTCACCCAGATCACGTTTTTAAGTACTGTTTGGACAATGTGTTAATAGCCCGTTAGGGTTAGGATCAGGGTCATAAGTAGGATTAGGGTTAGGTTTACGGTTAGGATAATGGTTGTAATTAGGGTCAGGATTAAGGTTAGGGTTACGATTAGGGATAGATTTAGAGTTGATGTCATTTATTTTTATTTGTTCTATTATCCATCACTTCCTGGTAAGTAGTCGTCGATCCTCTTACTGCAAACCATAGTAATTCATCTGAGGGCTTTAAGGGAAGACTGCACATGAGGATAAGAGAGATAAACGATTCACAAAAGCAGCTCATCTTCAGTCACCTCGGTGAATACATATGTACAGAAACTAGTCTAACGTAGCAGCTGATACTCCTCATTATAACTGGGACGTATTTTTTTAAGTGATGTCAGAGAAAGTTAACCTGTTTAATGTGTTCTCATGCATTTTCTTGTAAATATACGTCACCTTTTGTGTGTGCAAAATTTCCTCATTTTTATGATTAGTCGGCTCAACGTCACTTGTGGATTCCCATCCATTGGGACGCTATTGTTGAACTTTGCCCGATGAACATCCACTTCGCCTTGACACATGATAGATCCCACTGGCTACGTCTTCGCACTATAGTATCAGGACATTTCATCCATCAAGTAGCCATCAATGACGTGGAGATCATTGATAACCAGTATACTCCCTGGTTTCCAATCATCTCTCTCGTAACTGATGTGTTGGTTTTTTGATGAAGAGAGCAATGAAGTTTTGAACTTATCACTCAATGAACAGTAGTTCAAAAAGCCAGAGTCAGTCAATAAGTTCTGTCATATAAGTTGCTTATTTACTTGGCCATTGAAAGTGAACTGTCGGTTTTCGACATAGAATTTTGCACCGATGTTCAGCAGTTCAAGTCCCCACACTCCCTCCATTCAGCACACAAAGCAAGAGAAGAAACTAAAAGAAATCCATAATAGAGACAGTAAACAGAGGTGTGAGATAAAGGTATAGGAATAACGGAGAACAAAACAGTTTCATTGGAAATTATAAGTCACAAGGATTGGATGCATCTGCGCTGTCATTGAGAACGATTTTGAGCCATATCACCAATTGTCTCCAGCCTTCATTGGTTTTTACCGTCCCGAGGATCCCAACCAGTCAGGAAGTCTACACCTTCCTACGTGGCTTAAACTAACTGTTGTGGATTTCATTGACTGATGAATCCATGTTTTGGTTTGACACACCACTGGCTCTTTTCCAGCCTGACCCTATGTCAGCTAACATTGCCCATTGTCGAGGAAGGCGATGACTAGGCATACGTAACACATGTCCTAACCATCTCAGTCAATGTAGCTTCACAGCGTCGTCGATTGATTTCCCCTCCCTCCTTACCCAACACTCGAGGCCTAACCTCAATATTGCTCACCTTATTGTACCACTTCATAGGGGAGATAGAGCGCAAGCACCTATGTTCAAAGACAGCCATCCAGGCTTTTCATGTCTCCCACTCTCAATGGCCAGGTCTAACTAACAGCCATAAAGGAGGATAGAGCGGACTGCTGAGCGGTACACACGTCGTTTGTTCGACAGTCAGCTGGATATCACGTCTACGCCAGAGACGGCGTAAACTGGCATATGCGAAACTAGCCCTCTGTATCCGTCCTGAGATTTCGTCAGAGATCAACCCGTCGGGGCTGATGGTACTTCCCAAGTAAGTGAAGCGGTCAACGTGCTCTACCACTTCACTTCCTATTTCTAATCTAGGGCTCGGTGCAGTCCAATCCTGTAACATCATCTGCATTTGACGGGAGCGTATTGCATGCCAAACATTCTTAGATTGCAGCTCAAGGTGTTCAGAAGACTCTGCATTTTGTCAGCGTCCTCGCCTAGAAGGACTATATCGTCCGCATATTCTAAATCAACAAGATTATTCCCTGGTAGTAACAAGTCAATCCATGAGTCTCTGAAGTGAGTTAGGGTTAAGTCCATTAGTATATTAATGATGAAGTTGAATAGAAATGGGGATAATGGACATCCTTGACGGACGCCACTAGTCATCACCACTTCAGATGAAAACTCGACGTAAGCCCTCACATGGCTGCATGAGTACGAGTAAAGTGCCTTAATCAGTGCAATGTATTTTCTCGGCATTCCCTTTGAAGCCAAGCAACTGGCGATGCTTGGCTGTAAAGGGAAAGTGGAAGACATGAAAAGGTCGGCTAGCTGTCTTCGATCATAGGTGTCTGTGTTTTATCTACATCCCGTCTGAGATGGTAAAATAGGGTGAGTAATATTCAGGTTAGACTGCGGTCAAGTGTTAGGTAAGGAGAGAAAATCAATCGACGATGTTGTAAAAATCTATATCGATTGAGTTGACTAGAACATGTATTATCCATGCCTAGTAATCCATCGCCTTCCTCGACAACGGGCAATGTTAGCTGACTTACATAGGATGGATCAGCTTGGGAAAGAGGTTAGTGATGGTTAAACCAAAATGTGGAATCAGTACATGAAATCTATTTCAGTTAATTTAGGCTGGCCACGTAGGAAGATGTAGGCCGGGCTGCCTAATTGGGGTCCTTGGGATGGTAAGAACCAATGAAGGCTGGAGACAATTAATTGATGGTGATATGGCTAGCTCAGATGCACTCACTCTTTGTGATTTGTCATATCAATCAAAACTCTATTGTTCTGCTATATGACTATTCTTTTTCCCTCGTACACACTTCTAGACGTGATATCCGGCTATCGACTAAAGGGCGGGTGTACTGCTCATCAGTCCGCTCCGTCCTCCTTTATGGCTGTGAAACCTGGCCATTGAGAGTGGAAGACATGAAAAGATTAGCTATCTTCGATCATAGGTGCTTGCGCTCTATCTCCCGTGTGAAGTGGTATAAAAAAGTGGGCGATATTGAGGTTAGGCGTCGAGTGCTAGGTAAGGAGGGAGGGGAAATCAATCGACGAGACTCTGCAGCTACATCGATTGATATGGTTAGGACATGTGTTACGTATGCTGGTGTAGTTATCGTTTTCCTCGACAACGGGGAATGTTAGCTGACATAGGGTCAGGCTGAAAAAGAGCCAGCGGTGGTCAAACCAAAACATGGCTTCATCAGTCAATGAAATCCACAACAGTCAGTTTAATCTAGTCACGTAGGAGGGTGTGGACTTCCTGACTGGTTGGGGTCCTCACGACGGTAAAATCCAATGAAAGCTGGAGACAATTGGTGATGATATGGCTCAAAATCGTTCTCAATGACAGCGCAGATACATCCACTCCTTGTGACTTATGATATCCAATGAAACTATTTTGTTCTTCGACATTACTATTCTTTCTGTCTCACACCTCTGTTTACTGTCTCTATTATACATTTCTTTTACTTTCTTCCCTTGCTTTGTGCGCTATATGGAGGGAGGTTGGCGAGCTGAACTGCTGCACATCGGTGCAAAGTTCTATGTGGAAAACAGACAGACAGACTCACACTTCTGATTATTATCTCTCTTTACTTTCTTCTGGTGTGCGTTGGTGACAAAGCGGTAGAATGCTCGTCGGGGTTCGATCCCCGGCCACAGACGCACTCCCTTACCTCGCTAAGAGGCTGGTAAAGAGGGAAGGGTGGGGGCATGAGGCTGGCTAGGAACCCCATCCCGTAAAAAAAATCAACACCACTGCTACAGAAACTTCAAGCCGCCCTATATTCCACTGGGAACGAAAAGGAATACAAAAAAACTCTCTTCTCGTACACTGTGGTGTGCTACATGGAAGGAGTGTGGCAACTCGAACTGGTGCACTTCTCTGCAAAAAAGTTCTATGTTGAAATGAGTCAACAGATAGATAACTATTCATTCAATGTCTTTCTCATCCCCCCTACGTCACCTCAAGAAAATGAATACTGACCTACTCTACTCATATAAACCACTCCATCACCCACTGACTATTTGAAGGAACTCCTATTAAGATGTACTCTACACGTCCAATTCACTTTCAATAATGAAATATGTAGACAAAAAGATAGTATAGCTATGGGCTCACCACTTGGCCCGCTGCTTGCAGATATTTTCATGTCAAAACTAGAAAATACACACCTAAAGAAGATAATACATAACTTCGGGTTCTACAAGAGATATGCGGACGATACTTTTATTATCGCCAATAATGAGGAAAATTTGGAGAACATATTGGACTTCTTCAGCAATTGCCATCCAGTAATCCAGTTCACACTAGAGAAGGAGTCCAACGCAACAATATCTTTTCTGGACGTGCAACCAGCAAGACGTGAACAAGATGGGACACTCAAAAGATCTATTCACAGAAAACCGACATGGAATGGACAACTCATCAGCTTTCACAGTTGGGTGCCTCTATATACAAAACGAAATCTAATCCGCTCACTGACTCACAGAATCCACAACATTTGCAGTCCGGAAACCATAGAAGAGGAGCTGAAGACCCTGAAAAGAATCCTCCTTGAAAACGGTTACCCGGAACGTTTCATCACAAAAGCTATGAAGCCCAAAACACAAAAACCGTCCATGCTTACTGCTCCCAAGAAACTTCTCTATTTGAATTTACAATTCAATGGAAATTCTTCAGCAGAAATACTGAGAAACCGCCTGTGCCGTTCACTGAACAAAACCTTCTTCGCAGCTGAACTCAGACTAACTTTTTCTACGAAACCAATGATTCGCACGAACGTGAAGGATAAGCTTCCACTGGGGGCCTCATCAATGTGCATCTGCCAATTCACCTGCTCATGTGGAGCTAGGTATGTCGGCCGTACCCAGCGTTTGCTATCCAAACGAATCAGCGAACACTTACCTTCATGGTTTTATAAAGGAGAAAGAAGATCCCCTCGCCACAGCTCTATCCTAGAACACTTGGTCGAATCCGGACACCAAGCAAACCCACAAAACAACTTCTCGGTTATCTACACAATACGTGGGAATCTTGCCAAAAGAGTACGAATTAAACTTCTTCAAACTGCAGAAGCAATGGCAATTCCCATATTGAATCCTGAACTCTGCATACAAAAGAAGTTTGTTCAGTCACTAAATCTACAATGGTCCTGATCCATCTCAACACCAAATACGTAATTTTGTCTTACCTCTTTCTTCTTTGTTTGTCTGTTTCTTAATTGCATTTATTTTCTACCCCCACCCTCTATTAAATCTCTACCCTCATGACGACTGTTGCTAACTCCATTTTCGTTTATTTTTAAGTGAATTCTACTCAGCTTATTAACTTGACTCTCATTCATTTTTCATTGAACCCTATCAATTAGATTACGTCACACAACCTACTTTTGTAACTTTATTTTAGTTTCTAACCGATTAACGCCTTCTAAATTACGTAATTTGTTGTCAAAAAATTAACAATTGCATTAACACATCTTTGGAAATATTCCTTTTGTTGCCAAAAAAAATTACTATAAATTTGCGGTTTGTACAGCTTGAGAATGATATCGCCGAAAAGAGTAACTCTTTGCTGAACGCCTTTTCTTTTCTATGACTGAATGGGAATTTTCAAATTGCACTCCAAATTAGACAACTTTCTAAGCACAAATGTTATTCATACAATGGGGAAGAAAAAAATTGGGCGATGAAGGCGAAGGGGTTGTTAAATCAAAAAAAATTCACAAACCTTAAAATATTCTTCCGTAGCTTCATTAATTTTCTCCATAAACTTTGCCATACCTTCACCTGTTATTGAAGAGATCCCACAACAGCGTAGATCTCGATAAAATTCATCCAGTACTAATGACATGGAATGAACTAGACTATTCATGTATGGTGATACTCCAGGATTATGAAATGATGCACCATCGCCTTCAGCTAATAATTCTGATGGTCGTCCATCCTCTGATTGATTATTATGACCAGCTAAAGCGTCTTGAAAGGCTTCAAAATCTCGCATCCATTCAATAGCAAAATCACAGTCGATAACATCAGTCTATATATATGAAACAATAACAAAACAAAAAAATGGTGCAATAATGAGGAGAGAGAAAAAAGGCATTTACTTAGGCATTCGTGAGTCAACCAACCAACACAAATATAGACACATCATGAACTGACATCATTTAGAGGACCATTGAGAAACTGATAGGGAGGGAGTACTGAACAGCTAACTGTTTCACCCTATTTCAAGACTTTTCACAGTAAGCACCCGCCACAGGAGGTTCGAACGCAGAGCCTACCGGTTACAAGGCAAGCTCATAAACCATTATTAAGCCACTAGAAGCCGACCCAATGGCCAGCCCATTGAGTTCCAACCTCTGCCAATTCACGATATAGCGCGACTAGCATTAGCCAATATCATTCATTGCTGGCGAGTATTTGATCTCACACTCAACCTGCTGTACCCCACTGGATACAAATTCTCACTAGAATCCTTGTAACTACCTACCTGAATATGGCTGGCTGGCTGGATTCAACATAGAACTTGGCACCGAAGTGCAGCAGTTCGAGCTGCCACGTTCCAAAGAGCACAAACACGTAGACAAGAAAATGAGTGAAGAGAATCAATAGAATTTAGACAAGTATAAGAGTGAAACAGAATGAGTAATGGTAGAAAGGAATATGAAAGATTACAGAGACTGAATACATCTGCGTAAGCCATTGACAACGATTTTGAGCCATGTCACCTATTGTCTCCAGCCATTGATTCTTAGAGTCCCGAGGGCCCCAACCCGGAAGTCTGCATCTCCCTACCTGACTCAGTTTAACTGTCAAGGATTTCATGGATTGATGCCATGCTTTGTTTGACCACCACCTACTCTTTCCCAACCTGCACCTATATCAGCTAGTAATGCCCGTCGGGGGAGGCGATGGTTAGGCATTCGCAGCACGTGACCTAGCCATCTCAATCTATGTAACTTTATAGCCTCTTCAATTGATTTTCCCTCTTTGCCCAACACTCTACGCCTAACGTCAACATTACTTACCTTATTATGCCACCTAACGTGAGAAAGAGATCGTAGACATCTATGATCAAAAACAGTCAATCTTTTTATGTCTTCAACTCGTATTGGCCATGTTTCAGAGCCATAGAGAAGGATGGAGAGAACTGCTGAACAGTACACGCGTCCCTTATTCGGATGTCACGCCTACGCCAGAGACGGTGTAAGTTAGCGAAAGCAGCCCGAGCTTTTTGGATCCATGCTGTGATTTCGTCACCAATCAATCCGTTGGTGCTGATACAACTTCCCAAATAGGTGAAGTGGTCAACATGTTCTATCACTTCACTCCCTATCACTAAGCTAGGAGTTGACGTAGTCCAGTCATTCCTGTAGCAGCATCTTACACTTTACAAGGGCGATCTACCTGAATATGGCCAGTCGCTAGTAAGCATCATATTGTAACCAATCAAATCCCTGCAAACCAACACTTGAATAACTAGATGATTATTAAGACTACTATTTGGTGTAGTTGCGAAAATAGCAAATAATCTTGACAGTGGATCGCTTATTTACATTAGATCCTACCTTAGGCGTGGAATACACTATACTCAATGATTCAATTTTACTACTGGCCTGTTTATTTTCTGAGATGTGGGAAGTTGCAATGATATACTAAGATGTCATATGCTACTCTGTATAACATGATGATTATTCTAATTTATAGTAGCATCCCCCCCCCCCGGCATAAACGACCTAGTCTACTCCACTGTGGGTAGGCTCCGGTCTTCCTCTCAAAATGCTCTCATATGGCCAAGTATTCATTAGCCCCTGTGACACACAGGTAAGTCCTATTCATAAGTGAAAGAGTGAATGCTAACAACCTGACCTTTACAACCGGATTGGTGGAGGATATGCTAGTCTACTATCTAGAGGACCTGGAAAACCCTAATTCCAAACCTATGATGGTGTATATATGCTCCACAATCTGAAAATATAGAATGATGTGTATAAACCTGTTCTGGTCAATAAAAGAAACCATGGGAACGTAGCTCCTGATGCTGCTCTACTGCTTTATGGATCAGATTACAAGTCAAAGAGAGTTTTGTTTCAATAATATTTTCAGATCCCTTCCTTACTACAGAAACAATCTCACACTTATTTTACATGTCTCTTTTGATGTTACAGAGTGAAGACCTTCGTTTAGCCGATTATTTCAAATATCTGGCACGGTATAGATGCATAGAGAGAATGGTTTAATTAATCTTTTAGCCTCTGTGGTGTTGGGGAGAAGTATGGATGCTTATTAAAATTGAATGTACAGGCTTTCCCTATCTTACTTTCTGTAGTTGTTGTTTTTACGCGAAAGGGAGGGGGTTGCTGGCCTTAAGCCCAACCTTCCTTATTTTCAGAGTTTACTGTCGGTTAGTAGATGGCTCCAAATAGTTCTCAATACTTTACTTTACTTTACTTCGGCTATCTCCTACGGGAGGATGAGCCGGCTTCATGAACATCTCGAATCATCGCTGCCCAGGCGCGGCGATCTGATGCAAGGTTCACAGGGCGCGTCGCTTACCGGGAACGCCGTAGCATGGTGGGAGTCGTTTGTAAGAGGGTTCATGAAGTTTTGTGGGAATTTGGTACGAGTGGTGTTCCCAGAATCGCTCGGCCTTTTGTTTGAGAGTGCAGCTCTAGCCTTTACACAACCAAGTGTGACCTGCAAGGCAGTAGGAGTGGAGTAGGGAGTCCACTATCCATTGGCAGCCGGTAACCGGAGTTCGGTTCATACGCCTTTTTGAATAGGGCCAGACATCCAGGACATCCAACAAGCCCTTTGTCCATACGTCTGCCGGTGAACTCCAGTGAGCTTCATACGCCAGTCGTTGGAGGTTTGGAATCAGGGTTTAGCCATCTCCCCTAGACTGTCATCCAATGGACAGTCAACCCGGTGAAGAGCGCCGGGCATCCGCTTTCGCCCTCTCACTTTGGTGAAAAACACCTCCGCCACGTGAAGGCAGTGAGTAGGACTTCCTCAGGAGAGGCTATGTAAGACGCCCGGTCATATGGGAGCATTTCAAGAGGTGTGCGGAGGGGTGGCCAACCCGCAGTGCAAGGCACCCACCCCCGACCATCCTGAGGCTTTGGAGGCTCAATGGCGCACATGCTTCCACTCCTTGTGACTTATCCAATGAAACTCCATTGTTCTTCGATATTACTATTCCTTTTGCCTCATATCTCTGTTTACTGTCTCTGTTTTGCATTTATTTTTACTCTCTTCTCTTGCTTTTGTGTGCTAAGTGAAGTGTGGTGACTCGAACTTCTCCACATCGGTGTAAAGTTCTACGCTGAAACCAGCCATTCAGTAGTAGACGGCTCCTAGCTTAGTGATAGGGAGTGAAGTAATAGAACATGTTGACCACTTCACCTATTTGGGAAGTTGTATCAGCACCAACGGATTGGTTGGTGACAAAATCACAGCACGGATCCAGAAAGCTCGGGCTGCTTTCGCTAACTTACACCATCTCTGGCGTAGGCGTGACATCCGGCTATCAGCCAAGGGACGTGTATACTGCTCAGCAGTTCGCTCCGTCCTTCTCTATGGCGGTGAGACGTGGCCATTGAGAGCGGAAGACATGAAGAGATTGTCTGTTTTGACCACAGATGTTTACGATCTCTTTCTCGCGTTAGGTGGTATAATAAAGTAAGTAATGTTGACGTTAGGCGTAGAGTGTTGGGCAAAGAGGGAAAATCAATCGAAGAGGCTATGAAGTTACATAGATTGAGATGGTTAGGTCACGTGCTGCGTATGCCTAACCATCGTCTCCCCCGACGGGCATTACTAGCTGATATAGGTGCAGGTTGGAAAAGAGTAAGTGGTGGCCAAACAAAAACATGGCCTCATCAATCCATGAAATCCCTGACAGTTAAACTGAGTCAGGTAGGGAGATGGAGACTTCCGGGTTGGGGCCCACCCTCGGGACTCTAAGAATCAATGGCTGGAGACAATAGGTGACATGGCTCAAAATCGTTATCAATGGCGCAGATGTATTCAGTCTCTTTAACCTTCATATTCCTTTCTACCATTACTCATTCTGTTTCACTCTTATACTTATCTAAATTCTATTGATTCTCTTCACTCATTTTCCTGTCTACCTTTGTGTGCTCTTTGGAACGTGGCAACTCGAACTGCTGCACTTCAGTGCCAAGTTCTATGTTGAATCCAGCAGCAGCAGCAACAACAGCAGTAGACGGCTATATAAGGCTTAAAAGTACGTCACCCGGCAGTCAAACCTGTATCATAAGGGTGGTGGGTGAGCACTGCCATTGAAACCAACATAAAGTGCATTCAAAAAAAACAGGTTGGTACACTTTAAAAACGTATAGATTACCTTGTTAAGGACCAGTATAAACGGAAGACGCATTTTATATAGAACACTACATGCATAAAGCATATTTGACATGAATGTAATAGGATTATGACTTCTTGGTGTATCCATTACATAGATAATTATTGTAGGAAAAGAATTACCCTACAGTTGAAAAAAAAAACAAATTAGATTTTTTCCATTTCAAGCACCTACTAGTAATTCTGTAATAATTGCTCCTGAAGCAGACCATGTGAATACTTCAATTTGTCCAGGTGTATCGATGACAGCATAGGAGACTTTACTTGAATTACTACTCTTATGATTATTAATTAGATCCACAACTTTATGAAATTGTGAAGCGAAAAAATTCAACGATGTCATAATAGCACCATTTGGACCGTAACCGTATTGTTTCATAACTTCTTTAAATTTGACAGTATCACGAATATCTTTCAGGAATAATTAGAAAAAAATGCCAAGAAGCCTTACCAATATTAGGACTATAAGGGATATGATGAACAGCTGGATCTAAATTAATTGTATACGGTAAATTCGATGTTGTTGTTAAATACTCCGTCAGCTTATTGACAAATGTTGTCTTGCCTGAACCAGCCATACCCAATATAATCAAGCAGACAGGTTTGCCACGTAACTCTTCTTCTGTAACACTCATTATTGATTGATTGAATAAATGAGTGACTGACTAATTTGTTTGATAGAATTCTAGATAAATATGAGCAACATTAAGACTATTTAATAATTATTGTATTATTATTAATAAATAACTTAAAATATATTCTCATTTATGCTTTAAAATAAAATCTTACAAAGTTGTTTATTATTATATCATTATTGTTCCCTTGGGTTCCTAGTGGCAAATAGGGCTTTAACTGCACTTCTCCACTGCTGTACTTTTCACCTGCATCCATGTTAGTCCATACTGTTTCAACTCCACTTCACACGATCTCCTCCATGTCACCCTTGCACTGATGTCCCACTACCCGCCACTTCCCTTTCGGGTTCCACTCGAGCGTTGGCCTGACGCGCGATGTCACCCAGTGGCCTCCTCAACGAGTGTCCAATCCATCTCCACTTTCTCCTGCATATTTGTTCAGCGATTGGTTCTTGTTTTGTTTGTTCCCATAGTTTCTTATTGATGATTCTTTCCGGCCATCTGGTCTTCAGTACAGAGCGAAGACAGCTGTTGATAAAGGTCTGCAACAGGCTGTTGGAAATATTCTTTGTGACCCGCCAAGTTTCTGATCCGCATAGAAGTGACTTGACGTTTTTATTGAAAATCCGAATTTTGTTGTTGATGCTGAGTGACGAAGATTTCCAGATTGGTTTCAGGTTGATGAATGTGTTTCTCGCCTTCCCAAAGTCGTTTAACAGTGTATAATGAAACATGCCTGACTTTTGTAGAAATTGAGTAAATGGCTTTACAACAATTCCCAATACTTGAACCACTCCAAATCTTGGTATGGATGGCTGGTGTCGTGCTTTTGATAACTTACATCACCTCTGGGGCATAGACGGCTGCTGCTAATCGGTTGACTAACCATCAGCAGCAGTTTTATTCGTCCTTCTTTATGGCTGTGGGCGAGACGTGGCCATTGAAAGTGGAAGATATGAAAAGCCTGACTGGTTTTCTTTTTGATCATAAATGTTTTTGTTCTGTCTCCCATGTTAGATGGTATAATAGAGTGGTGAATATTGAAGTTATGCGTTGAGTGTTGGGCAAGGAGGGGAAATCAATCGGTAAAGCTGTGAAGCTACATTGATTGGTATGGTTAGGGCATGTGTTACGCATTGCTAGCCATTGCCTTCCTCGACAATAGCCAATGTTAGCTGACATAGAATTAGGTTGGAAAAGAAGTAGTAGTGATGGTCAAACCAAAGCGTGGAACCAGTCCATGAAACCTCTGACAGTTAGTTAGTTTGAGCCAATCACGTGGGGAGGTATAAACTACCTAGTCGGGGTCCTCGGGATGGTAAGAACCAATGAGGGCTGGAGAGGCTTAAAACCGTTCTCCATGGGCTGCAGATGTAATCACACTTTATGATCTCATATATCTGCTAGGCTGTCATGTTTTTCCATGTTACCATTCCATCTCGCATTTCTGCTTATTGTCTTTCTTCCTGCATATCTGCACAAAATTCTGCACTGAAACTAGTCAGTCATGTTAATAGCCTGTCATATAAGGACCCAATCTTCTACCAATAGGAAATCACAATTTTAAAAAATAAGGATTGGTAGGGAGATTTACAATTAAGTCGCCCAAGGACAAACTGATTATTCACCGAGCTATGAACTATGTTGCTTATTTGAGAGCCGGCGACACTAGCTAGCTGCCCAGGTTATGAAACTAGTAACTACCGAACGGAGAATACACATAAGTAAAGTGGACAAAATGAACAACTTTAATCGTCTGGGCAAATGCTGGGTAAAAAAGCAGTATAAGATACCCATTCTTACTACCTTTTCCCACCTAACCTACATTGCTACCTACTTCTTTTAACATTACTCATGTCATTTCCAGAAATATCCTACTTTTCCCAATTTAGAACGAAATACTACTCATTTTTTCATCCGATCTATCCATGCTAGAGAAAAAATTTACCTGAAAAGAGAGTATCTAAGCCAGTGGTACTCTTAAATGTGTCGCAACATGCGTTAATGCAGAGACTATGTATAAGTAACATCCTCCATTATAATAAAAGGTTCCGGTATGAATGTAACCAAACCAATTTGTTTTTGTCCCACCCAGCATTTACTTCAGCTACACTGGAGATGCTTTGGGAAACACGGACGCACAGCAGAAACTTCAGAAAACTATAGCAAATAATTCCCATAACACCATGTACTCTATGTGTTGTTTTTGCAGTTTAGGCTATTAACACACTATCATGAGCACCAATCATGTACACATGCATTGACAATTTTTCTACAGTTTTTGATAAGTTCGATCACATGAAGTTAAAATCTGAAGTGTCACAAAACCAGGACTGGTAGTTCACTAATGGGAATAAAAAAACAACTCACTTAAATATAAGAGCAAC